GATTTCTCCTAAATGCCAAAATAAAATACAAATTGATTCGTATAGGAGAATCTGTAATTTTTCAAATCAGGTGATTCAAATTATAAAGAAAAAAACACATGCACACATAGCTACACTTTTTTATGTATATTTATCAACTAAATCCATTTTTAAAACAATATGAAATCGTGCAGAATTGCATAATCGTATATGCACAACAAAAATACATTTTATCTAAATAGGGAAATGCATACTTGAGTAATTGTACGAGTATGTAACACATTCTTATACACGTAGGTCTTTGATTACAATTGAAAATCTAATAAATTCGCAAAACAGAAGCATAATTTTAGGAGCATAGGAGTTGAATTCAACGACTCTAATTGCATGAAGGTTACCTAAATTATTTATTTTGTTTCCAAAGAGATCCAATTTTCCGTTACTTCTTTATTTTCATAAATTTTTAATAAAACTTATAATCTATTTTTTTTTTCAAACTTATTCTTTTTTTAACTTATACTTACAACTTATGATTAAGTGATTTTAAAAAAAAAATAGGATCTTATGTGTTAATCTACCTTTACATATGTATGAATGAGAACAAAGACTACAAATTGATAATTTGTTTTTCTAATTAAAGAAATCCAGATTCTTGAGTTTGAAATTTTTGAACAAATTGAAATTTGTGGTAGTTCTCATTTCTGTAGGACAATAAACCTATATATACGCTTTAAAGCATTAAAAAAGTTTTAACTGATGTTGGAAAAATATGCACAATTCTAAGTGAAGTTCTTTAAATTATATTTTTAAAAGGCATTTCTCATGTCTTCTTTAGAAATTAAAATTTTTATGTTTTAAATACTTTATCAACTCATACAGATTAACACATTAAAAAAAATAATTTATTAAATTTTAAAACGGTAAGAAAAAAGAAAAACCTGCCACATCTTTACAGAAATCGAAATAAATTTTCTAAAAAGGAAAAAAAGAAAAAAATTTCTGCTCTTCAAAAATTAAAAATTTGATAGCGTAGCATTAAAAAGCAACTGCAACTATAATAAAAATTAAAAAAAGAGAATAAAAACAAAAAATCAGAATTGCTGATGACTTGCTTTTACGCTATTTTCGAAATTTGTTGTTTTTTTTCTACTATAACAGTTTTATTGTTTTGATACACAAAATTTTTGTTTTGAAAAGTTGATAGGAACTTTTTTGTATTTGTCCGTCTGTAATTTGTATAATAAAAAATGAAATAGCAACAATTTTATTTTTTTTTCTTTCTCTTTATTTTTTTTTTTTTTTTGCTTTTTGATTAGTATGTGAGAAGTTGACTCGGTTCCCAACTCTACATTCTTTCTGAAAAGAAAATGAAAAGGCAACAAACCAAATACAACAAAAAAAAATACGAAAAATACAAAAAAAAATTTACAAAAAATCGCTTTCACTTTTTTCGCCTTATGTGAAATTTTTTTTATATACTTTATTGTTATTTTTGGTTTCTGTTGATTTTCTACTGAATGTGCCAAGTTGATCGTACTCAAAAATCTATTCACTTTAGGTTAACATAAACTTACTTAAATGTAGTTTTTTTCTATATATGTATGAATATATTTGTAACTATCACTATGTATATAGAGGTATATGTAATCAACTTTTGTTTTCTAAAACTTTATTTGTGTAATACTATATTATTCTTACCGTTAATGTTGGGATACTTGATGCATCAAAGAGTGAGAAAATAATAATTATAAAAAACATATTTAAGTATTAGTAAACATATTCACAAACACACAGAATACACATTTTAACCATTTAAAAAGGTTATAAAATATATATAAAAAATATTTATACATATATATACATCTATATACATATCTATATATACAAGAGTTAAGAAAAATAGTAAAGAAGACTTTGAACTCTAAATTAAGATACACTAAATAAAAAAATAAAAAGCAGAAAGCAATGTAGCAATAAAAATAACATTCAAAATGAAACAAAATAGAAGACTAAAGAGGTAAGAGTAATATTCCAAAAAGAAAATAATAATAATAATAATATATATATATATATATATATATATATATATATATGTACATATATAAATATAATATATTACAAAAAAAAGTATGAATATTGTAATAATACAACAACAAAAAAAGCAACAATAATAATAAAAATATTCAATCAGAAATTTTTGTATATTAAAGGGCAATCCTTAAGTCATTATTAAAACATTATTGTCATATTTATAAAAATGCATTTTCAATGTTAATGTATAGCCAACTGGTTCTAAAACAAAAGAATACTGTAAAAATAAAAATCAGGTCAGAGAATTTACGAAAATATTTATTTTGTTAGTCCTTATACTTAACTATAAAATTTATACAGGAATTTAATGATAGTTCATTTAAAATAAATTTCTTTACACGTTTCCTGCATACGCCGAACTACAAACTACTTCTAATACAAAACATTTTTAATATAATATATATTTTTCAAAAAATTAAATTTAAAAATTAAATCTTACAAAAAATTATTAAAAAAAATATTTTTTCCATTCTATGAGTGAAAAAAAGAACATGCAAAAGTTATATAATGTTTTTTATCCGGAGCCCTTCTGTGGAATCGCACCACATACTGTTCTTTTGGAATTTACAAAGGAATCAGAAAGAAGGCATTCGACGCGCTAGAAAAGTTTTCCACTGGCCAAGAAACTTCTGGGAGATTATGACCAGAAGATTTTTGAGCAAGAATCGAATCAGAACTCTATAAACCAGGGTTTTGTCAAAGCACTGCACACTTAGGGGACACCACAGTATGCTACACCTTCTGGGGAAGTGTGATGCTTTCTATCATAGGAGAAGGGAAATACAGGGCGATTTTGCCCTCACGACAGCGAAGTTGCGGTCTTACGTGCCTCACGTAATAGGTCACGAACGGACATTATAGGGCATGCTCAACACTTAGAGGAGGGACACACCAGATCCTTATACATTGTGTTAAAAAGATTCTTGATTCAAATCAAAATTTGTTCTAAATTTCTGTAGGCATTATTTCTATAAGAAATATAGTAAAGATTAAATGTACGAACTTCATGAATAAAATTCAAATAATTTTGGTAATTAATTTGTTCTGAAATTGTAAAATAGCAAGGAGTAAAATCAATAAATTATATATCAAGAATAATTTACGATATTTTAAGTGCAACTAAACACAGAAGTCTTAGATTTTCAAAAGCATTATGCAAAAAAAAAAGGTTTCATTGCTTTGCATTTAAGAACAGATAAGACTTAAAGATCTTTTGAGCGAGTCCCATAGAAAAAAAAACTTCATTCATGATCCCGAAGAAGCGAACATACATTTTACCAAATGATAACCCAAAAGATAATTTTTCGAATCTTAGAAATAAATTAAGATTTTTTTTATTTTTTCTTTAGAAAACGTCAACTTCAAAAATGACTGATAAATTAATTAGGTTGAACGTATTGAAACCACGAAAAAAAAACCGAAATTATAATATAAAAATAAAAAAAAAAGAAATGAAGAAAATACGAAATTACGAAATGAACTTTAAATTTTTTTTTGTCAAATATTTAAAAAAAAAAATTTCTCAATTTTTTTTATGTAGGCAAATATGAAATTAACAGCGAATGAATTAAGAAGAAAAAAAATCTTAAAAGAGTAGAAGCGTTAATATGTAACGGTTCGGTTACAACACTTTCCTCTTCACCATTAATATTTTAAATACGTTATATATATATATATATATATATATATATATATATGTTTTTTATGCTGTTTTGTTATGAATACTTTTGAAATATTAATTTAAAAGATTTTTTTCCCAACTATTTGCTACTTTTTTTTGTTAGCATATCTTTGTCATAAAAAAGAATTTATAATTATAAAAGTGAGATTAATGTAGGTGATAAACAAAAATTTTTGTAAATTTAAATAATTATACAACTTTTAATGTTCTGCTTAATTCGACTTTATATGTTATTGAAATTTCAGAGAAATGAGCTTGAATATGCAGTTTTCAGTTTTAATCTCAAAAATTTTGTTCAAGAACAGTTGTTCTTCTTGCTTTCTTACTTGTGATATTAAAATTTGTATTACCTTAATTGTCATTCTTACAATCAAAGTACGTTTTCAATTTCAACTAAGTTCTTGCAAAAACTTAATCATAGTTTAAAACATAATTTTTCATTTAAGAACTCTCAAAAATTCTGAAGTGCTATGTCAATATATTATTTGATATCAAACAACATTTTTAGGAACGATTTTGGTTTGAAATTCTTCCAAATTGAGAGTTTTATATTTCTAATTTTATTTTTATCCTTGATTTTACATCCACCAAAAAATTTTAAATAGAATTTCGAAAAAACTTTCGTCATATTGGTATTCTAATAATTGCTACATTCTGTAATGAATTAATTTCAAACAAAAAACAAAAGACTTAAGCTAGAAACTTGATTTTTTCTACAAATTTCAAATTTTTTTATTATAAAAATTCTATATCCAAACTGTATAATTTTAAATATTCAAGATAATTGAATTGTGTATAAAAACTATATAAAGAAGAGATTCAAGACAGTTTAATTTAAGAAGAAAGTTCATTTGAACATGCGATAGTGCTTTTTATTATGTTCAACAAAAATGTAATTCAATCAATTTATGTAATCTCGATAATATTTGCTCTAAATTTGAACTAGAAAAAATATATTGGTCAAACTTTCTAATGAATACACGGCACTTAGAATACATTTAAGAATTTCAACCGGACATCGTAATTTACTTTAACAATATTACTATGATTAGCATAATTAGGCATGAGCATAGGACACATTTAAAATATATTAATTTTACCCTAAATTATTTATTATCGATTTCTTGTTCTAGCTTTGATAGACCTAACGAAAAATATAAGTGATTAAAATCAAATTAAAAAAAATCTCTTATAAACTTGTTTTGTATTGTCTTAAACTTTTTACATTTATTTTTGATCTTGCACTTACCTTGTACTCTTGCAGCAAATTATTCCATTTTTTAATTATTTTAGATAAAGGTAATGGTACATTCAACTCCCGTTCAACAACTCTGCAAAAAAAAAAAAAAATTATATTGAAAATTAAACCACATATTATAGTTTTTTTAAATTAAAAAAAAACAATCCATATGCATTAGTTTGTACACAATATACACATATAGTTTATAATTTGAGAAATTTTTGTTAATAATTTTAATTTAAAATTTATAATTTGAGCAAAAATCCAAAAAAAAAAAGAAACACAAAAAATATTTCATCTTAAAAGAACTTAAAAAAATCGAAGAGGTGGTTGGGCTACAATATGTTAAACGAAGCACAAGAAGAAAATGAAGAAGTGGAAAAAGAAAAAAATTTAATAGCAAAGCAATTACTAAATAAAAACTTTCACTTTAACTTGAAAGCATACAAACACACACGCCATGCTACATAATATTATAATAAACCACTTTTAATGTCTACATATTCACTACAATTGAATAACGCAGCAAATTATTGCCCACACACATACATTTATACAAAAACTGAATAGAGTTTTTTTTTCACTTTGAATAAAAATGTGAGTGAAAATATTTTTTTTTTTTTAAGTTAATTTTACTTTTCTTAATTTATAATTCAACGATTTATTAAGATTTTTAAGAGTTCATTTTTATGGTTTATTTTTTTTTTTGTTTTTGCGGTTTAGTTTTTAAAGCCCATTTGAAAATATGCGCTTTTTGAAATAGTTAATGGTTTAACAAGGTGTTTTATTGCGTTTATACCAATTTTGAAAATAGTTTTTAAAACCTAACCAATGCTTTTCTCAAACAAGGCAGGTGTACAGGATAATGAATTTGCTATTTGAAAGTTCTATAATAATTTTATATTTTACATTATGTAGAATACAGTCAAAAACTCTCAAAAACCTGTATTCAAAAGTTTTAGAGAAAAAAATTATTAATTATGCATGTTATTTTTCGATATCATACAAGATTTTTTTGAATTGTACATGATTTTGATATTTCAAACCAAGTTTCTTAAAAATTCTGAGTAAATTTTTGAATTGTTCAATTTGCAACCTGAAACTAATATTCTGTTATTCTTATTATATACAAGTGTTGTTATTATATACATTATTTGTTAATCATTAGTATAACACATTTTTTCAAAATGTCTTTTCAGTTTTTGTACTTGAATTTTTTTCGTAGAAAATTCCATATCTTAAGCTTGTTATTCCATATAATTCCATTGCATTAAATAAATTTATTTTTAAAAAGGGCTAAGAGTTCATATTTATTACTTATTTATGTTAATAAATATTTCCATTACAATAATGAGTTTCTCTATTTCGGCTGTTAACCTATTTATTTTGTCATCAAAAAATTAATTAAATTAATCATGAAATCTTAAATTAGTAAATGTTAACAAAAATTGAAAAACGTGTTGACATTTTGAATGCAAGTTAGAGGAACAACTTATTTTGTATACCTAATTAAATTGTAAACTAGAAATTTAAAAATAAGAAAGGAATGTTAGGACAAGTATTTATTTTATATACAACACCCTGTCGATCCAAACTATTTCATTTTAGTTATTCAGTTATTTGCTTTAATTTTTCCCCTTTTTCTCTCTCTCTCTCTCCATTTTTCTTTTTTACAATCTTGTTCAATTTTGTTTTTAAGTTTATGGTATTAGATGATAATGAATTTTTACGATATAAAAAAACAACAAAATAACAACAAAGAAAAATAATAACAACAGTAATAGTAAAATTCATGAAACATGTGCAATATGTAAGTAGAAGCTCACAACAAAATATGCGGCATTGTAAAATGGCCAAGGTTTTTTAACTCTTTTATATTTCTTATATTAAATTTCTTTTTGTTTTTGCTTTGCTATCTGTTATATTATGTATACTCGTATAATAATGATGACTATTTGGTATGCAACAATGTTTAAAATGTTGTTATATTAATATTGATGCTAATCATGACAACCATATGATGATAATAGTAATAATAACAATCCATGAATTTGTTAGTTCCTATTTTATTTTAAACCTCAAAATACCAAATAAAATATTTTTTTTTGTTTGTTACATTGCAACATATTTTTAATTGAATTGCTATTAATTATTAATTTATTTGGTTGAAAGCTTTGCTTAACAAAAAAAAATTTTACATATATATTTACGTTATTCAATTAAAATAAATAAAAATATAACTGTGACTTTATAAAAAGTAAGTAAGGTGGGGTGATAAGTGTCTTTAAAAGCAAAAATTAAGAGGTAAATAGAAAAAGAAAAAGAAATATGGTAAAAAATGTGCATGTCCGGAGGTATTCTTTTTTCATCAAATTAAATTGTTTCTTTCAGTTTTATTTTCTGTTAAAGTTCAATAAACCTCAACACAATATTTATAAAATATACATATGTATATACAACATGCATATATTTATTTTGTAATCATCAAGCACAATTCAAAGAGTTTCAACAAAAAAAGTGTATAATTTAGTAAAAATCAAAATAACATTGGACAAATACTTGAATCGAAATTCCTCTTATAAAATGTATAAAAAAATTAATTTATAGAATTTAATAGGTACAGAATATTTAAGTTAATGAATTTCGAAGCTACTTTTTTCTCGCTTGTAATTTGTTAGTTCAATATAATAAAATAAAACAAAATGGTATATGTATTTAAATTATGCTTAATTGTCCATGTACCAACTTGAGGTTACATAGTAACCAAAAATTATAGTAAACTATTAATTTCAGTATGAATCACATTGCATTAAACTAAAAAATTAATTTCAAATATGTAATTTTAATACTGTTAAATGATAACATAATTTCCAGAAACATGAACTAAATACTTTACATTAAATAACAATTTCGGAAAACACCCTGGTATTTAAAAGCATAAATGTTTTCCAAATAGATTCGAGGTATTTTAAAATGTTTAAAATATTTCGACTAACGCTGTGAAACACAAAAAATTCAGCGTTGTAACAATCTAAATACTTCGGACAGTAACATATCATACAAACTCTTTTTATTAAGTATATTAAGTTTTAATTTTTGGCACACAGGACAAAATGTATAAAAATATATTTTTGATTAATAATTCTCAAAACATTTTCATAAACATTTTTTTTTTAATTTTTGTAGCAAGTTGAATTTAGGTTTAATATTATAAAAAATCATAGTTGACGAAATTCATGCTATACAAAATTTCCCTTTAAGAATTTAAATTCAAATATTGCATTTATACATAGCTTTAGGTGCATATATGTAAAAAAAAGGATCTCTATATATTGAACCAGTTTGGTTTAATGGTATATGTATAAAATCTAATAAATTTCGGAGAAATCTTAAAATGATAGTTTTCAATATCAGTTTGAATTGTATAAATTCCAATTTTTAGAAGTATTATCTGGAAAACGAAGACTACAAAAAATTTTGTACATATATATTATATATTCTACTATATCAATGTCTACAAATAATAAAATTTTAAACTTATCTAGGTTGTTTATAGGAGAAAAATTACCCCAAAATTTAGAGAACATTTGTTTGACATAACGACGTTAATTTAATCAAGATCAATTCAATATGCCATCATTTGTTTATGATTTTTTGATGACAAAAGATTCTGATTTTTCTGGATTTATAAAATTTACTTTAATTTTCGCGACTATTGAAAAGCTATAAGTCGTATCTATTATATAGAGAAGTTATGTAAAGAAATTTCATTTTTGAATTAGGCATATTTTTTCAAAATGTTGTAAAAAAATGCCAAATATACGAGTATTTTTAAAAGTCTATTTACTATTTAATTAGAATTACATATTAATATCTATTCATTTATAGAAAAACAAATACTTTAATGTTATCATAGTTAAAGGGTTGTGGCTTAGTCGCCTTAAATTTTCTTAAATATAAAATGATATTTGCAAGTTCACACATACATACTTAAATTATAATCACTGATTCATTCAATTTACAGCCTCAATTTCCTATTATTAAATTCATTTTACTTTTTTAAAGCTTTTAAGAAAGTTTTTAAATGCAAAATATATTTTAGGCAATAAAACAGAATAAAAGCGTTAAAAATCTTAATTTGAAGTTAACATTTTTTCTTCTACCAAAATGACTTCAAACTTGAAAAAAAAAACTCTAAAATCAGAAAAAAAAAGAAATTAATATGAATTTCATTTTTCATGTATATATACACATACATACATACATACAAAGTTTTCTTAATAACTGTTATTTAAAAATTATGAAGAAAAAATGTGAGAGAGAAAATAAATAATGAAAAATAAAAAAAAGAAGAAAAATATTAAAAAAGACGAAAAGCAAAAGCAAGCCAACTTTCTATTTCTTTTGATACCTTAAATAAAACCACAAATTAACATTTAAGTGTACATATATATGTATCTGTGTAGAGTATGTATTTTGTTTTTTTGGAATTAATTGATTTTATATTTATGGCATTCGCTTACACTTTCAAAATTTTTATGTATTCAGAAAAATTTCTCCACATTATTTTTCTACTAATTCTTGAACATTACGCAAAAAAAATTATTAACTTACAAATTGAGAACCGTTTTTATACCCGTACGTTTGTTCGAAGGGTATACTAAATTTGCCTTACCGTTTGTAACGCAAAGAAATAATGCTCTGAGACTCAAGTTTATGTTTTAGATCAGCGTCGAGTTCTGAGTTGATTAAGCTTTGCCTGTCCGTCCGTCCGTTCGCCCCAACGATAACTCAAAAACTAATTGAGCTAAGTTCACCAAATTTTCAGAAATGATTTATTGTAATAAGTGCCAGAACCCTATTTAAATTGGACAGGATCGGGGTACCGGTTCGGGTAGCTACCACACAACTTCAAAATTTATTTGGCTATATCTCAGAAAAGCTGTGGTATTGAAATTTCACGCAAGCAGATATATTAGTAGGGCCGATGTGTTTGATAAAATTCGTTAAAATTGCTTGGCTTTTTCTGGTTGCGGTCATATAACTTCAATAGTAGTTTGGCGATATCTTAGAAAATATTAAAACTGAAACACAGTACTGAAATTTTGCATGAATTAATATGGTTATACGGCAACTTAAAGTCATAGTCTGTCCCATTGTCAGTTATGATATATTTGTTCGCAGATAGGGCAACAAATTTGTACGGGTATCACAGAGTTGACACGGTCAACTTTATTTTTTCTCGTTTATATTTAACTTTTCTTTCTTTTTTCCTATATGGTCTTCAAAAAGTGAAAATGAATTTTTTTTTTGTACATACAAACCCATTATGAAAATATGTATAAGCATGAGTACCGAAAGTTAATAAGCAATATTTTTTAATAAATAATTTTTTAAACGGATGAGCAGTGAGTGAACTCTTCAGAAAAACTAAATTGTTTAGATATCAGTTCTTTTTGCCAAAGATTTTTTTAATTTACTTTTAATTACGAATTGAAGAGAAAGTAGTTCGATGCATACAAACGCACAACTTAACATGTACTACTAATCCTTTTCAATTTAAAAATATCTTCTTCTTCAAATATTTTTCGGAAGAATGATGCGAATCCTAATAAGTACGTGATTTAAATATTTTTAGGTTACTTTTACTTTTCTTTGTTGAAAGAACTGTGAATCCATGATGCCTTTTACTTCGTTTCAAAATTTAAATTTATTAACTTTTAAAAAAAAAAAGATTTATAACATTAAATGAAAAATCTTATTTATTAACTGTGTTCAACTTAACAAAATTAAACGACTTCATGTCCGTGTAAGTAATATATGTATATATTTTCATCACAAAAAAAAATTACTCAAAAAAATATGCAATCGTATATTACTTCGGCATTCTTTTCTAACTGTACTTATATGAATCTTATATAATAGAACTACTTATATAATAGAAAAAATTTCATTCTTTATTCGATAACTAGCATATAATAGTGTTACTAATTCATATTTTTAAAATTTAAATACACTTTTTAATATAATATATTTGGAATAACAGGACATTACAACAATACATCTTTATAAATTTGATGTTCAATATAGAAACAAAAAAAACTTTACATCTCATTGAACCATGTACAATAAAACTGTATAAAGTCCAATGTAATTTCAAGAAAGTGTGTATAATTTCTAAACATTCCTTAAAAGTAGATTCTCATTAATTACAAAGGAAAAAGAATAAGCGACTTATTATCCTTATCTGCATTCACTAAGACACTTCATTTAATTTTTATAAATATTTTTTATGCTAAACACAAAATAAAATAAAATAACAATATTAGCATAAAACTTAATTTTAACTTTTATATATATATATATATATATATAATTACATACTATACCTACGTGCGTAAGCTCATTTACAAAATATATTTGAAATTTCTAGATACGTTGAGCACTTATATACTCATATGCACATTATATAAAATAAAAGCATAATATAGCATAAATTTAGTATACATTAATTTTGTGAAATGGAAAGCTGACTAAATAAATACTTATATACTCGTACATACACATATTATATTTAACGAATAAGAAAATAAAAGAAAAAAAATTATAAGCACATAAAATATGATACAAAAATAAAATCATAAAATAAAAAAACAACAAATACTCACGCCCATGCATATTTGGAAGCGTTCCGTTTACCAGTAAATAATGGAGAAAGTTCTGCACGTAGTCGTATTAATGCCTTAACTTTATCCGCTTCCCCTATAAATATAAAAATATAAAATATATAAAATAAAACATAATTTTAATATGTTTAATATAAAAAATTAAATACATTTAATAATGTCAGATAAATAAATAAATATTTTAAAAATAGTAATGAAAATCTTAATACTCGTAAATTTAATTTAAACAGTAAAAACAAAACGTTCAATGTTTTATGCCATTTTTCTATGTAAGGATAAGACAAAGTTATACTGAATTGAATTTAACCAATTACAATTTATATTACTTACAAATTTACAAGTTATTATTCCTCGATTATAAATATGCAATTTCAGAGTTTTGATAATGTTGAGTATAAACATATTTTTGTATAAAGGACTATTATAAGTATAAACCTATAAAAAAAGGCTAGAAATCCGAATTTAGCAAATATTAATTGCACTTGAAATACAAAATTTTACATCAAATCCATAAAAATTTTAAAATCTTATGAAATGCAAAATTTATTAATCCTTTTTTTTTCATAATTTAAAATTTTATAAAAATTTTTAATTAAATATTTTAAAATCAATTTCCTTTCCTAGACCCGTCTATTTACATGTTATTTAATCTTTGAAAATTCTTCAATCTTCAGTTCTTTTAACTTTTGTCTTTTATTTTCATAAATTTAATAAATATGTATATCTTTTTATTCTTTTTCATCTACAAAAAAAAAGAACTATAAATACAAAAACACATACGTATATATTACAATACAGTTAACAGAAATGGAAGACTGTAAAGTAAAGTTGTATTAATAATGATATCATATTTAAAAGTTCACGTTAACAGCAGCATCTGTACAATTATTCATTAATATCATTTACATATTATTATGTACTGTGAATTATGTAAAAAAAAATGTTATGTTCCAATTCGAACTTGAAAATTTTCTTTCCTTTACTTGACAACATCTGTTATAATATACATACAACATGTATACATAAATAAAATGCATACAAACAAAAATTTAAAAATATCTACTAGTGTTGGGGAATCGATCTTGAAAACGAAAGCTTTTCAAAGTTCTTTTATTTTTACACTTCATTTTATGCTCATATGAATGTAATGTTTGGATTTCTCAGAGAAAATTTTACTCTTTCTGTTAACTTAAGTCTCAAAATTTGTAAATAAAATCATCAATTAAAAGTTAATATACGTAAATAACAGAAAATTATAAGAAAATTGCATTAGGTAGTGTGTGTACAGTTTTATATAGAATCTGTATAATATTATGTATTTTTGATCTGTAAAAATTATTTTGTAGCTTGGCATGTATACGAGTATACTCGTTATTGTTTAAAACGAATGGTTTCACTGTATTTGTTCATGTTGTACGCAGTACTATAAATGTAAACGATGAAATCACAAGATAATGGCTTATATATAAGCTTTTTCTTTTTATAAATAGAAAGAGTAGAAAGCAGAAATAAATTTTTTGTATTTAATAAATTATAAAATAGTGGAAAAATAAAAAAAAATAAAAGATAAATAAATTTTATAACAATATAGATTCTTTAATGTACAAAAGCATTTATACACACATTACACCATACATATGTATGAACGGATACAATACTAAAAGTATGTATATCTTTATATACATACAAATATGTATATGCATACATATTCGGTTAAATGTGTTAAATGTAGGTTATCTGAATTAAGAATTATTAATACTTAAGTTTTGTTTATTGTTTTTTTTTTTTTTCTCTAATTTTTTCTTAAATTTTGTTTTTTTTTTCTCTTTTTAAGAAGATACGGTAATATTTTTTTAATCGCGTTTTACTTTTTAAGCGCACCATCAACACACGAGACTTCATCATAGTAAATAAGTACATTTCATGTGATTCTAAACTAGTTATATGCACAAAAGAAAAAATAAAAAAAAACAAAATAATGAATTTTTATTTAATCAGAATTGTTTATCATATCGGTATAAATGTATGTAAATAACAAATATTGTAAAATACTTTGTTCAAATACACATACATATAATACTAGTTTGAATGCACATTTATACATACACAAATATTGTAAATGAAAATTTGAAACAACTTTCTTTGAAGAAAAAAATAAATAAGAGTTTCTCTTCTCATTCATAGTTTCTTTGCGTTCTGATTCTTGCTCTAAATGAAAAAATAAATTATAAAACAGAAAAACAAAATAATAAAAAAAAAATTATAATTTTTTATGTTCATGTAGACATATTCCAATTAAAATAATTGTTCATAAGATAATAAAGACTATAGGTGAAAAAAAGCAAAAAGAAAAAATTATTTCTTATTATGTACGTACATATATATAAACAATGTAAATATATTAAGTACAAATATACCCTTAAAATATAGAATGAATGAAGTGATTCTTATAAATATATTTGTATAGTATATATATGTAGGTTGAATTGGAATATAATAAAAAATTTAGTACAATGTAAAAAAAAAAATAGTACTTATTTACTATAAAAAAAAAATAGGCAAATATGAAACACACGAGATTAATATTATTTATTCGTTTATTCGTACATGTAATTTAGAATTTTTATTTAATTAAATTAATAAAATTTCAGCCATGAGAAATGAAAACTTATTAATGTTAGTATATATGAAATATTTTGCATAATTATAGGAGTGATAAAATTTCTTTCATTACAACTGTAGAATCACATATAGAACTTTATTATGTTTCTCGTTATTTTACTCGCTAAAGACAAGAAAAAAGTGGGTAGGTGTTTTATATTCGCTTTAAATGTATAATTTTCAAGTGAAAAGATTTTTTTTTAATTGTGCATCACGTACAAATACAGAATATATTTTGATATGTAATGAATTTTGATATATAATGATTATAAATTGAATCAAAAATCTAATTGAAAAACTGACAAATCTTGTTTGAAAAATTATATGACCGCAAATAAAATAATGAAAATTCTGATTTAAAAATGAATGAAAAAATGTAATCGAAAAAACAAGATACACAATTAGCCTGAGATTATATTCCTTTTAAAAACTTTCTTTTTCTTTCGGTCCTTTTTTTTGTTTCATTAACGAATTTCGTCTAGACATTAGAAATCTGACAAAACATAATGCAAATATTGTTAACACATTAAACGCTGCAAATATTATGCAAAACATGCAAAACTTAAATATTATTTCACAAAAAAAATTTTACGAGCAAAAAAAATTTGTATATTTTTGTATAAATTTAATTAATTTTCTGTCGCCAAACAGCATCTTCATAAATTTATCTGATGTACAAACATATATGAACATTTTCGGGATCGATTCAAGTTTCATTATTCCTATTTGTTTAAATTTTTGTAGAATACTCGTAACTAGAATCTTAATTTTTACATTTTTAAAATTTTTTCAAATTTGAAAAATTTATTTTTTTAATTTCACATAAGAATTGCAAAATATCCATTTTAAAATTAAATTTTAGAGCACTTTAATATAATTAAAAAAAATCGCATGCACTAATTACAATTTTTTTTTTTATTTACTTCAATTACATAGTTATATTTTTAATTTAATTTACATAAGAAAAAATATAAAACTGTAGAACAATCTATATATAAAAACAATAGCATGAAATGGGGATAAGTAGAGTTGCTTTTTCTAACATTGAGGTACCTTTTCTTTAAATCATTTTTCTTCAAACGCATTATAAAAATTTTTTTATAATATTTCAGCATATTTATTCTCATAGCTTGTCGAATTTTGTATTTAAATCACCAAAGAGTTGCCATTACATATGCTGCTTTGGTCTACTTTATCGTCTTACTAATCTATCGATTAGGGACGTGCGTATCGCTATGATTCTTAATCATTAAATTTCTTAATAATCTAATATCTAAGTTTCTTAAGAATTTATGTATAGTATAATAAATAATAGTCCTACAACTACCAAGAACTTTTGATAGAGTTGTTCGTCACAATGTACATCTGAAGAAGATAATCGCATAGTTCTCGACTTATAGCTCGATAAAAGAAAGGGCTACACTTTAACACTAAATTCGACTAGAATACATACCTAGAATATGGTTTTTTTACTAAAAATTTTATTTACCCTAAGTAGTACCAAAATTTCGAAACAAATAATACGAAATAACGTGAACGTACAGTTACATTTTCTATATTCAAGTATATGAAATATTAGTTTCTTTAAATAGATTTTAGAAAAAGAAACTCAGGTTGAATAAAGTAAGTATATGAGGCGCATGAAATACAAATAAGCCCTGATAAGGGGTTTTCTTTTCAAACTAAAGAAAAAGTTCTTTATTGTAAAATATTAAAAAATTCATTACACTTTCAATTCTATTATTACATTTTGTCAAAGGTATAAATTATAGGGGTAATCGTAAATTATAGGGGTAATGATTTGTAATTAAAAAGCAAATTGCAACGTAAGTTTTGCGGTGGTTTCAGCAAAGCACTTTAATATGTGGGTTAAAGACAGATAAACGAATATTGTTTATTCATTCTATTATTACACACATGTTGCTCTACTTCTGCTCTTGTTGGTAGTTACTAACATTGCGAATTTTCTTTCGACTGATCACCAGGACAATTTTATTTTATAGCACCTACTTCATGAGATTTATTAAAATGCAGGGAAATACAAAATTCTATATAGTATATCATATGGAATCATGCATACTAAAACGAATTCTATACGTAATACGTTACAATAAAAAGGCAGGAATTCGATCTAATTAAGTAACATGCAATTGACCTAATTTTAATTTTACCTTTCTCTCTCTCCGTTCATACAATTTCTACAGAACACAACACAATATCAAAAGAATATGAAAATAAAGATCATAACAGCTAACAACTAACATTTCATGTTATATATAACGTATAGTATTAAAAAAATAAGAAGAAAAGAAATAAAACGCACACAAAGAAATGTTTTCATCTCATCATCACTTGGTTTAATTGCAGACAGAGAAAATTTTCAATCTCAATGTGAAAAAAGTAACTTTTTTTCAATGGAAAAAGCATTTGTTAAAAAAA